GCAGAGCCCAGAGGGTGGTGATAAATGGGGCCGGGTCCAGTTGGAGGCCTGTGGCCAGTGGTGTCCCCCAGGGGTCAGTACTGGGCCCAGTGCTGTTTAACCTGTTCATCAATGACCTGGAYGAGGGCACGGAGTGCACCCTCAGCGAGTTTGCAGATCATCCCAAGCTGGATGGAGTGGCCGACACCCCAGAGGGCTGTGCTGCCATTCAGAGGGACCTGGACAGGCTGGAGAGCTGGGCAGAGAGGAATCTCATGAGATTCAATAAGGACAAGCACAGGGTACTGCACCTGGGGAGGAATAACCACAGGCATCAGTACAGATCAGGGCTTGACCTGCTGGAAAGCAGCTCCACGGAGAGGGACCTGGGAGTCCTGGTTGACACCAAGTTAACCATGAGTCAGCAGTGTGCCCTSGTGGCCAAGAAGGCCAATGGGATACTGGCCTGCATCAGGAGGAGTGTTGCCAGCAGGTCAAGGGAGGTGATTCTGCCCCTCTACTCAGCTCTGGTGAGGCCGCACCTGGAGTATTGGGTGCAGATCTGGGCTCCCCAATATAAGACGGGCATGGAGCTTCTCGAGAGGGTCCAGCGGAGAGCAACAAAGATGATTAAGGGACTGGAACATCTATCATAGGAGGAGAGACTGAGTGAGATGGGTCTGTTTTCTCTGGATAAGAGAAGGTTGAGAGGGGATCTGATTAATAAGTACATGAAGGGAGAATGCAGGGAGGAAGGGGCCAAGCTCTTCTCAGTCGTGGCCAGTGACAGGACAAAGGTCAATGAGTGTAAGCTGAAACACAGGAAGTTTCATCTCTCTGTGAGGAAGAACTTCTTTACTGTTAGGGTGACAGGGCAGTGGAACAGGCTGCCCAGGGAGGTTGTGGAGTCTCATTCTCTAGAAGTCTTCCAAACCCTCCTGGATGCCAGCCCGTGCTGCCTGCTGTAGGTGTCCCTGCTGGGGCAGGGGGATGGGACTAGATGATCTCTAGAGGTCCCTTCCAACCTCAAACATTCTGTGATTCTGTGATTCTGTGATTCTGTGATTCTGTGATTCTGTGAACACTTTGACAATCCCTCCCTTTTAAAAACATTTTTTTATGTTGCACTGAACTATCTGTTGTGGACACAGACACCACTTGTTGAGCACCTGCTGTCAATGTAGACTCCTCAGCCTTGGAAAATCTCCTAACAGTTTCACTCTAATTCCCCACTTACTTCACTCCACTCTCCACTTCTACTGCCCAAAAGGATCTCTTCTATCACATTAGCCATATTAGTAATGAGAGATTAAACCCACAGTTCATGAAAACTCTGCTGAAGGGAAAGTTAACAAAGATGAGTGTTCCGAGAGAGCTTCTTTTCCTCAACTCTAGCACTTCTACATTAGTTCTATTAATTTGGTATAAGCCTGTTYCATGTTGGAACACAAGAATTCCATTGTAATTTCAATGTGGTAAAGTAGAAACAAATAAGTTGATTTTTTTCATATAGCTTATGGAGTTCTTAGCATCAAAATTTATTAAGATTAAAAATCATCAACAAAAATAACAAAAACTTCTGTATGGGTAAACAATACTTAGAGCACATAATAAAGTAGTACATCTTAAGCTTCTCATTAAGCCAGTCTCCAATTATTAACAAAAAGAATAGACCTTAGCACAGTGGAAAATTATTTCACTTCTTCTTAATATGAAATCTCTTCATTCCCTTTTCTAATTCATCTAGTTTTGTTTCTGTTAAAGATTTTTTTTTTTTTTTTTAATATTTGGTATGTAAGCTTGATTCTGTTCAGGAGTTTCTATGGTTTAACTATAGCATTCTTTAGAAAGACATCTAATCTAAAGGAGAATTAATATTTAAAGCTTCTTGTGATCTTTATTTGTAACTCAGAATGACAGTCTTGAAAATTTTACCATGATGAATCCCTGTAGAGTTTCAGTAAATGAAAAACCTAATTCAATTGAATTCAGTTCAATAATGAAGTATGAGAAAGATTAAGTTCCTGCACAACTTTTCACATATCACTGACCTGCTTTTCTAATTACATATCTGGATTTGGCTCCATATAATATCTTATGTCCATTTTGCACATAAGCTATATTTCTTACTCGAAAGACAAACACCTGGCCACAAAGTTTTCCCTTTTGCCTATGAAGATTGGAAGTTATTGAGTTAGGTTTACAGAGGCTATAACTAGGAGTTAAAACCAAGCAACTGTATTATACTCAATTAGCACAATACAGGAGATATTTGACAATGACGACGACATACATCAATGAGATCAAATGATGATGTGTGCATTGGCTACTTCTCATAACTCTTTTCTTCTTTTATTTGTTTGATAAAGAAGCAGAATTGCCCTAAAGCCATTTACAGTTTTCTTGGCATAGCATTAAATCCCGTATTCTAAAGATCTTTTCAGGAAATGACTGAAGCACATGACTTATTTTAAATTAAATAAATCTAAATGTATCCTTAAAAATTAAGCATCTGCTTATGCTTAATTTTAAGCATATATGATATGATTAAGATATGATTAATAAAAAAAGACTTAACCATGTACTTGAGCATTCTTCTGGATTGAAGCCTGTTTGTTGAATATAGATTTTTTAGATTACTTTTTGCATTACAGTCCTCTTCAAAGAAACACAGATGGAGCATTCAAATGTCCTGATTGCTCAGATGTCCTGATGATCTGTAGCCAGGATCTGGTATGGATTTTTTTAGTCCAGTCAAAACAGGACTTCATCTGGAGGGTAGCAGATGGAAGGAGGGAAAAGATCCAAGTTTTTGATCTTTTTTTTTTTTTCTTTTTTGTCCAAACAGATGTTGTTGCAATGACTGAGCTACAGAGCAACGAATTCAACCAAAAATGGGTAAAGAAATACATCCTAACATATGCTGATATTTGGTATATAGTTAATGAGGCAGACTACAGTCACCTAAGGCTGCCACGGATATCCACTTCTCATTCATTGCAGATGACAGGATTTTTAAGATTGTTGTAATTGAGAATTTTTTTTTTTTTTTGATTTTGCATGCAGTCAAGAGAAGAGTTAATCACGTTACAATACTTGCTTTAGTAAGAGTCAGTTGAGACATGAAAGAAAGTAGGCAAAAAAAAGCAGTAAAAGAGTGGATGGAATTTTACTAAAAGGAGGTGAAGGATATATCATATGGCTCTGATAGATTTCAGTTTGGGGCAATAATCTCACAGGAAAGTGGTAGATGGAATATTAAACACAGGAAAAAAAACGTGTGGGACAGGATTTACTGTGGAGTTAAATGAAATTTTTTTGATGCTTTATTCTTAGCAAAAGATGAGATTATTAAATTGGAAGGAAAGGGTATATAGATCATGTGATTGTCATGACCAATCCTGATATTGTTAGTGATATTGGACATTTATTAGTGTCTCTGYATCTTTAAAAACTGAATGAAAGACTTTGATGGTTATTCCCTGGAAGTACACGATAAGGCATGTGCTCCATTTTCTTGTAAAACTCCCAAGCTAAAATTAAACATATGCAAAACTTTGAAAAAGTTACTAATTACAACTTATTAGAGCTTGTTCTACCTAGTAACTTCCCTGCTGGAATTCAGTAATTATGAATCAAGGAGATCCCAACAGGCACCTGTTTTACACTTGAAAGCTCAGAATTATTGCTCCACTGCAACCCTTTGTGATAGGAAACATGAGTCAAGGAACGAATTACATAGCAACATATCTTGACTGGAAAAAACAGAAATGGAATTGATAGTGGATGGGATCTTTTTTTAACACTGTATGAATGCTGGGACTACAGCCTCCATAGGTTTAAACAAATTATATAATATGCAAAATCACTACACAGAAACAACTTTTGCCCTTTAAAAAATGCTGCCAGATTTTTGGATCAAAAAACTTCAAACTACTATATTGTACATTTTTAAAATCTTTGATATATTTGTCTGAGAGGAGGCAATAAAATTTTCTTGATTTTTGAGGCAGAACTACGTAACAGAAAACAGTAACAGTATACTTTTACTTTTTTAAGTAGACTGTAATTGTTTCTTTTTTTTTCACTCTTGGAATAAAAAATCCTACATGGAAACTCATCCAAAATATTGAAGCTATTGAACTGAATACTACATWGAAACTCATCCAAAATATTGAGGCATCTAAGATTAACTTATTTTTGTTCTCAATCAAAACAGCCTTTCACCTAAAATGATAAATGCCAGAAATTGCCTGAAAATGATTTTACTTGGAAATTAAAGAATTAATGGAGTTATGTGGTATCTTACAGTAGCTCGATCTTAAAAAGAATGATAATGGCCACTTGAACCTTCTCATATATAATTTATCTTATCCGTAGTCACTCAGATATTTAGTTTTTAAAGGTTGAATGTTACCATTAATTTTATAAAATTATCATGAAGTCTTCATATTACAGCTTTTCTAGATCTAAGGATTGAGGTAAAATAGTTGGTGATTATTCAAGTGACCAAAAGAAGTGAAACACATTATTTTCACCATACTATACACATATATATGTATGTGTGTGTGTATTCCATGAAAACTTATCCAAATATATAGTATTTTCTAAAAATACTCTCACCCTTGTTCTGATGAGCTGCCAAAAACAGACATAGGGAAGAAGGAAAGTTTTTTTTCTTTTTTTTTTTTTTTTTTTGTGAAAATTATGGTAAAATATGGCAAAAAAAATCAGCAAAAAATGGCAAAAGTATGAAAAAATATGGCAAAAATATGGTGAAAATAAATATATAAACTCTAACTCACTAGAAAACAGACAGAAAAGAAAGTCTATAAGGAACTTTGCATAAATAAGGCTTGAGAAAATGATAAAAACGGAGTATTACGGATTAGCAATAAAAAGAACTTCATAGTCTGGAAGCTAAAGCATTAACAGAAACTTAGTTAAGGCAGGGAGAAAAGGCAGGGAGAAAAGGTGGATTCACTTCACAGGAATGAAAAGCAACACGACAAAAGAAAATAAGCAAAACATAAAGAAAGCAAAGAATGCAAAGCATTTTGATTGATGGTATCGTATATTATTGCATAACTCCTTGCAAACATTCATGCTGTTAGAAAAGATAAGGAGAGAATTACAGAATAATTTTAAGGGACCTCTGGAAGCCATCTTGATCAACCATACAAGAAAAAGAAACACGAAAATAAGGAAAGTACAACAACAAAAATAATTGTAATAAAAATAACAAGGGGATACAAGAGGAAATACATGGACACACATAGGAAGAGGAAAAGGATAAACGTGTTGATAGCAATAACTGGATCAAAAACTACATAATGGGACAAGAGTGAGCTGAGAACAGATTTCTGGTTAAGAGCTAAACAACAAGTCATTCAACTGGAAAAAAAACAGGGAGTTTCAAGTGCAGTTTCAATAAATTGTCTAAATAGTTTCAGAGCATTCCCAGAAAACATTATGATGTGCATAGAACAAAGCTGGATTCACTTCACAAGAAGACATGATGCTTTAACACAGTATTCATCATGGAGAACAAATGATAAATGTTCCAGTCAATTTTAACAGCAGTATGGAAGACTTGGTGTTAACAGCTCTAGTTGTGAGGACTGGGGGGAAAAGTGCAAAACCATCATAAAATCTTAACAAGTTTTTATTCCACTTTCCTGATCTCTAGTCAACTACATGTTCATAGATGTTAGGCATTAATCATATGCTGGTAAACCAAACAGTTCGGGTTTGAAGTCCTCCATAGAGTTCAGCACTACTGTTGCTTCCTTTTTAAGATCTGGATTTAAATTTTCATCTGGAATCATAACCACTTGCATTCCTGCTGCCAATGCTCCTTTGACTCCAAGTGGTGAATCTTCAAACACAAGACACTGGGAAACAAGGAAKTGAGAAGAAGGAGAAATAAGGATAGTGTTATTACAAATTATTTATTGTTTGTTTTACCAAAGAAAGAATGACCCTGCAAACAGTTTAGCAGCAGAGTTAAATTCAGTTTCTGGCTCAGATATCCCTAATTAAAACAAGTATAAACCTTTCAATTTGAACATCTGCATGGTAATTAACCTTAAATTCATTTCACTTCAAAAAAGCATCTATGCATATATTAAATCCCCACAACTGGTTATCCAGATGCTCATAAGTCATTTGTTTTATCTGGATGAGTTTAAGCACAAGATTAAAATAAAGTTAAGCATGTGCTTAAATACCTTGATAAGAAGGTAATTTAACCCTTCTAGACCAATCTTCCAGCTTGTCAAATGGCAAAAGCAGTGCCCTCGCTTACAGGGGTGACATTTCTTATATACATGAGTGGGATCAAGGCTACAAAATCTAGGTCAATAGTAGGATTTGGGACAAAGTTAATTGTCAGAATAGTGCTGTCATATCCGTGTAGTGTTTGCTTAATTTCTTCCAAAGTAATGGTGACAAAGAAAAGCGGCAATTACACCGCAAGGCTACTCTTAGAGGTAAGTCAGTTCACTCAGTAAACATTCCACATCCTACATAGTCAGAATCATTCAAAATGTCAGCTTGGATGCAAGCTTCCTATTTTTTTTAAATATATTTATGTAAATATCATAGTTTAATATTATAATATAGATTAATAAATGTAAAAAAAAATTTGAAAATTAAATGGTTATATTATTTTGTTAAAAAATCCATTCTTCTTCAGCCTTTAAGTGGAAAAAATAATTGCAGCTTTTGATTACAGCATTATAAATTTTTCTTCTGACAGAGAGCTAAAAATAATTATATATTTATAAAACTTTATTTTAAAATTCTGTCCATCATCCACATTGGTTTAATAACAATGGTAAATATAAAAATTGAAATGTTATAAACAAAAACAGCAGAGGTATATACCACTTTATGCCTATTTGGTATACAATAGTTGTGTAGATATACATTTATAACAAACACACAATGGCTGGAAAAAAAATGAGCAAAATAATCAAAAGCATACTTAGGTATCTTTTAGGGCTACAAATTCCACATACTTATGAAAAACAAAACAAAACAAAACAAAACACTATTTATGGATGTTTTAGGGAAACAACTATGAGCTCAGTCAATGACTTAATAAACTCTGACAGATACAATAGGAAATATTTATTATATCAAAGGCAAGGTTACAATCCCACCTTTAATATATGTTTACTTCTCCCAGTTGGTGTATTTGGAAGCTAATTTTAGCATCTTTTAGCATCTGGGGTTAGACTTTACTCATACTGCTTCTTTCTCCTGCCTACTGCTGGGGGGTATGAACAACTGAACATACGAACATATGGACAACTAAAATGCTGAGAAAGTCTGCCCTCTCACCTTTTATGTATATATTCACATTATATATACTTAGGATTGTGCAATTGGATTGTGTATCTTTTTTTTTTTTTTTTTTTTGTAACTAAGTACTTTTCACTAAAATATATACATTTTCAAGACATAAATAGACCTATAAACACTTTCAAACTTTCAAAGGCTTAATTTTATTAAGATGATTGTTGTAGAATAATATCCTAAAAATGCTTCCAAGAATGTCAGGCATTTCCAGGAGAATACACTTAAAGTAAATACAGGTAGGTATTGTCAATAGTATTTAAAGCTAGCTCTTTTGAAAAGTGTTCTCTGTAAGAAGGATAAAAAATATATACTGGTATTTTCTAATTTGCATATTTCAGATGACTGCGTTACAAAGGTAGAGTGAATTCTTTCATTTATTTTTTTAAATGGTCAGTCACTATTAATGTGGAAGACAAAATTTTTCTTTTCTTCATGACGAGTAAAAAGGACATCATCAAACATATATGGTGAAATTTTACAAGCACAAACAACTTTCAACTGGATTATATAACTTATATATATTACAACTCATATATAATCAGGTAGACTATCCAGTCTTATCTGTTATATAAGATAAAATGAATCTTCTGGAATTCATTCCTGTATAAAATAAAGCATCTGTACTTGACACTAAACAATATGAAGGTTGAGTAACCCAGAGGCACTGTTGACACTGCAAAGCATTGCAAAATTCTCACCCACAACGGTTTCCAAACCCTCTGCAGTTTTGACAGCAGTTATTATCATATTATCATTTATTAGTTGAACTACTATGATTATTATTAAAATTATTACAAATTATGACACAAGTCACTTAGATAATTCAAAGCAGGTTTGGAATGGTGTGTATAGGTTTCCCCACACTCTTCATTCAGACAGTGTATCTTGGCTTTACCTTATCACGTGTCTCTCTCTCACTCTTTAGGCTCTTTGCTACTGCCATTACTTCCAAATTAAATCCCTTCCTACATACTCAAGGTAAGTTTTCATTTCTTCCACAACACAACAGTCATGTCAACTAATGGTCATGAAGGTAACAGTAATGACTTGCTAMACTTTTAACTTTTAACCGAATGCAGATGTGAAGCAGTAGGAGAATGTACAGCAGAATAGTATATCTTGTAAGTTCCCAAACACACAACTGTCTCATCAGGAAAGATGAGCAATGCACAAAGTTTACCAGCTTTGGCTGTGCTCTAAGACAACCATGTTGTAATCTGTCAAAACTTTATTTCATTCAAAGATAACATTTTTGCAAGACATATTTAAGAGCTGCACTATGTACACATATTTATAATGCAGACTGTAGAAGAGAAATTAGGACGTATCTTTTCTTCCTATATTCTTTTCTTTTTAAAATGTCCATCAAGATCTCAACTTGGAGTCACTCAAGGGCAAGTAAGAGGTGCCTTCTACCTTGCATTTAATAAAGTAAGCCTTACCTAGTGATTTTTACATAGCAATGGAAGAAACTAATCTCTCTCGTGCCTTTACTCAGTCGCTAAATTACATTTCTCTACCCACTCCAGCTTGAAAACTGACATTTTCAATCTGTTGATTATTATCGCTACTCCTAGCTACAAGCAGACATCCAGTTGACCCCGCAGTGCCTGGCATCGTTGCTCTCCAAGCTGAAGCAGGGTCCTGCCTCTTGTTTTGTTCTTAACAATGTGCTGCTTTGTGACCCAAATTCCTGGTCCCTAAGCTCTCCATGCATTACGAAACAGTAAATGAAACCCTGGCACACTCTGCCTTTTCAAGAATAAGCTTAAATGTTGCACAAACAGCATTATCAAGGCTTTTCAGAAACTTTTTCTAATCCACCCTGTGCAAGGAAATGCATTTCACCGTTCTGCCTTGAAAAAACTAATTGACTTTAGTGAAGTCACCAAGCTTGCTGTCGGAGGGACGCCGATGATTATGGAAGGCAATATGCATAATGAAAAGCTTAACTAATTCCCTGGAACTAGAAGCAATTAAAACTCTTAATTACCAAAGAAGCCAGGCAAATGACCCATAATTATAGTGCCTTTAATGTTACAGGAAATAAGTGTACTAGGTCTTCCTCTGGTCTTTCTTGCTACTGACACTTATTGTCAACAGCACAGCAACATTTTTAATGGATGACGAAAGGTTTAAAAAGGTCACATACAAAATGGATTTATTAACTTGGCTGCACAGAGATGTTAGAAACTGTCCACTGCCCTGGCCCACCCACATACTAWATTTAGAGATATGAAAGCAGCCAAGTTCTCCCCTGCTTTGCATAAACAGTGCAACATCAGCATCACTCCAATTGAGGGAGACAGATGAGATTTGCACAGACTTCAGCTGCAAGACTTTGGTATTCTTTCTAAAACTTATGGCACTGATCAATACTGCTATCATGAAATCTTTCAGAGGGTAACATTGTGGTAGGACAAGTTTTACTCTGGATTGAATTGGATGCTTAAAATTAAATAAATAAAAACACACTCATTTACATTTCATTCTACATATTTATAAAAAACCAACAGTTTCACTTAAGAAAAATATAATTATATACTGATATTAAAAACTTGTAAATCATGTATAGATAATATGAATGGGCTGGAGGTAAGGGAATCTTTTTCAAAAAAAAATCTTTGATTATACATGACATTATCATCAATCTTTAAATTGTGGAAGAATGAAACTAAAGATGACATCATTTATACACAGGTGGCTTGCTTACAAATTGAACACTACCATCTATTTCTCTTCAAAGATTTATGTATTTCAGGCAGAAAATAATTTCCTGATTGCAGTTTTTAGTCTCAGTTTAGACTCTTATTCTCACAGAACGCAAAATATTTGCAGACACTGGGACTAAAACATGTATTTAAGCACTTTACCTTTCAATTGGGGTCTTTCTGGTAAGAGTATTGAATATTTTATTTTACTCCGATGAAAAAGAGAGCAGAACAAGAATTGCATATATGTTAAACATCACCTTTTTCTTCCCTATACTTATTCTTATAATTACTTTTTATTTACTATATGCTTCATTGAAAATAACTACTTTGGAAATTGATAGGAAAACATTCAACTTCAGATTTTATTTCTCTCGCTATCAATTACGCTTGCCTTTCCTTGCAATGTGTTCAAAGTGATATCAATGTGGGTTAGTCTTTCACACTGGGAAAAAAATTACCTCAAAGATCTTCTATATTATTGAGTTTTAAAGCTAAATTAACATTAGCCTGCCTTCTGAGGGCTTAATATCAGAAAGACTCTTCCCGCATCCATAAAATCCATTTCAAATCCAAGGCAGGTCTTGGGGGAAAAAAAAAAAAAAAGAAAAAAAAAGAAAAGAAAGAAATACTTTGATAAAAA